ATATACCTTGGTTTTTTAGTATCAACAGTAGTAAGACCAGCAAGAGTAACAATCATAGCAGGTAGTAACCACAACAATAGTCAATGGTGATAACAACATCTATAGTAGTGTTTTCGCAAATTTTCTGGGTCCCTGTGGGCGCGTGGGGTCCGCAGAGCAACGACCAGATCAGCGAAAGGATCCCTGATTTTGAGAAGTGCGCTGTTGTTGTGGGTCATCATTGATTCTGTTTTTTTGGCGCTGCTGCTCAATCAGTTGTATGGATTGACACTTCCCCAAAGGCCAGTCCCTGAAATCAGTGCTTGTGATGTTATATGGTGTAGCACTACATTGTTCACATGCGTCCTTTGCATGCAACTGCTTTCTAAGAGAGCTAGATTCTGCAGACCTGCCATGGGTGCTAGGCAGGGAGTTCCTGCAGTACGACGGGCCGACGTCACTGTGGTTCCGCAAGCTTCACAATGTGTATTCTTTCCGACTGATGATGTCGGCAAGGAAGCAGCTCTCCAGAGGCTTGCGCAAAGAAGAGAGTCATTTCTTGACCTTGCAGCGCAATTATGGTACTCGCTTGAAGCGGTGGAGGTGCTGAAGGCAGAGATCCAGGCGATTTACCCGAAACTTGCACAGCCTCTCACAATGACCATGAATGCATCCAACCGGGCGTGCAATGCTTTGGCTTTGTTTCAGTGCCTGGCCTCTCATCCAGAAACGCAACGATTGTTCTTAACGAGTGATGCTCCGTTGCTGCTGTACCCTATCTTGAATTCGTACAGCGTGGGACGTCCGTTTGACTACCTTCGACTCACTTCTCTTGGGGTTATCGGCGCCATGCTGAAGCACAAGAATCCTGAGGCTGTCCGCTTCTTGCTGGGAAGAATGCCGACCGTTCCGCTCTGCCTAAGAATCATGGAGAGCGGCTCGGAGCTTTCGAAAACCGTTGCTACCTTCATTGTGCAAAAGCTTCTGCTTGATGATGACGGATTACATCACGTTTGCTCATCAGCCGACTGCCTTCAAGAAGTTGCGCTAGTGCTTTGCAGCATGGTTGACGTTACGGTCAACAAGCCCAACATACATTTGCTGAAACATGTGGTACTGTGCTACCTACGCCTGATGGATGACGTTCGTGCCACAGTTGTGCTCAAGAACTGTTGGCCCTTGGGCTTGTTGTCGGACCCCTTGCTTCGCCGGCTGCCGGTTGAAATGGCTCGGATTCTAAGTGAAGATCCAGCCACCAGCCACAATCTCAGCAAAGTGCTCAGGAAGCTCGAGATGTCCGTGGACGAGCTTGTCTAAACAAGCAACTGGTATGAAAAACGTGCGCAAAACGTGCAGTGTCCGGCAGTCGCTCAGGGAGTGATGTTTCTTAATTTGATTTGTAGGTTCTTGCGGCTTAGATTTCAGTGTTCTCTTAGGGCTTTCCTTCAATAGGAGGTCTTTTGCACTTTATTTTCTTCGGAGGGCCGTGTCTTTCGGAGGGAATGAGTCCTAAAGCTGACTCATTCCAGGATTCCAGGATGGAGCGCAGAATATTGCAATGTCTATATGAGCTATAGTCTTAAGGGGGTCATATGGCGGATTATATAGGGGAGTATCACAGGCCCCATTAAGGGCCATACTACTAGGAGTTTAGACTGTAGCCTGTAGCGCATATAACCCTCTATATAGTAGTATCCGCTCCATCTTCCATTTGATTCTCCATTATCCCTAAACCTGATTCTCATATATTGGGGTCTAAAATGAGATGTACTGGAGTCTATATTGAGATGTACTGGAATCCCAATTGCTGGAAACGCCGTCCCCATTCTGTGGTGAAGTTCTCTTTATGTTATGGTAGTTTCCACAAATAGGGGAACCCAATCTTGTTATGGGGACCCGCGCCCCTAATTTTGGGAAACTCCCTTCTAGCGCCCAGAACACTTTCCTGAACATCTATCCTAGCCCTGCTTTGCTGAACCCTACACTTCCCCAAGCCCCAACCATGAACCTTCAGATTCCAACGCCTGCAAATCCTTACTAGAATCATTGAGCCCTGAACCCCAAAGCCTATAGTCCCCCTTAAGTAGATAGAATATGGCTTTGGGTACATTATGATAAGATCCCCATATAACCCGTATTCTATCTACTCAAGAGGGACTATAAACCCCAAGCTTCATGTCTACCCAACCCTAAGCCCTAAACCCGAAGCCCTAAACTCCAAACGCTGCTTTGATGCCCGGCACTCAGGGCAAAGAGGCGCTAGAGGCCTACCGTAAGGCGGTGGCTTGCGATCCCTCCAGCCAGACTCCTGGTTTTCCAGATTTAGGGTTTAGGGGTTGAGGGGGCTTTTAGGGTTCTGAAGATAGGGTCCCTAAACCCTAAACCCTAAACCGGGATATTCGATTCCTTTTGCACTTTTTTGTTCATTCCTAGGGCTGAGCTGGCAGCCATTGATCCCAATCTGATCCCCGTCGTAAACCCTAAATCCAGCTCCATAAACCGGCATGTTTAGCCATTATTTTCTCATCTAATGTATCCCAACAGCCCCGGGCCTCAAACGCCCCCAAGCTGTACACCCCAAATCCCAAACTCTCTGCCCAGCATCCACCACCCAAAAAACCATCAACATTGAAAACAACTCTAAACATTAAACCTTCAATCCTAATCCTAGACCTTAAAGCTCAAACCTCAATCCTAAATTCCATGTCCTACACCCTGAACTCGTTCCAACCTTACACCTGAGTAGTATATATGGTACCACATATAGAGTAAGATTATGTCCTCCTTTTCTGGGTATAGTCCCCCTTAAGTAGATAGAATATGGGGTATATGGGTGTCTTATGACAATATACCCCAAAGCCATCTTCTATCTACTTAAGGGGAACTATAAACCTTAAACCCTAAACCCTAAATAGTAGTTTCCATTTCCTTTTCCATTATCCCTATATAACCCCCATATTCTATCTACTTAAGGGGGACCTTAAATCCACCAAACAAAGCGTAACC